TCCACTCAAAGTCAGTGTTCTTTGATGTTAATAGGATATTTATGCATTTTACGTTGCTCCTCACATACACGGAGAAGGGGTGGGTTGGGTGTGTGTTGAATGACAAATGATGATGATGATGATGGTTTATCGTCTCCGTGACTGCTCGTTGTCAAATCGACGTGAGTCGATTCTCTTGCGACGTGAGTGGGTGCTCCCCTCATGGGTTGCATTCATCTGGGAGTTGACTGGTCTGTAATTTGGAGACGACTCCCTGGTCTAAAGGTAGATATTGTGGTGATGTGTCTGGACTTCCAGTGGTGAAGGGGGTCCTTGTCTTCTGCCGAATCTCCAGGCTGTCTTACTATGATTATTAATTTTTGATTAGGGGAATTTAGATGTCCTTTCCTGATAAGGTTAGTGATGAATTTGACGAGAGATGTTATGTTGTAGTAGAAAGTGGTATGTTAGTGTAAAGTTTTTCAAGATGGATAGCGGGATTCACTACTCAGGGTGGGGATGGGGGTATTTAGGTTATGTATTTAGGAGTTGTATCATGTTAGTACTAGATTTTTTTTTTTTTTTTTTTTTTACAGAAAAGATAGATGGATAGAAGACAGAGAGATCAATGTGTAATAATTTCTGCTTGTTGTTAAGCTAGGAGTCTAATTGTGTTTATTAGAATAACTATCGAGGTTTTAAGGGGTTCGGATAAAGTGGGCCTAACACTATTTTGTATTTGATTTTGGGTAGTATGTGTTTAGACAGTGTGTACTTGTCCTTCATGTTATTTATGTTGTGTTACTTAAGGTTGGTTTTCTATTTCTCGTGCAGGAGTTCTCTGTGGTGTTTATGTTGTCATATTTTGTATAGTTTTCTTGTGTATTTTGGCGAGTGTGTTTTGTTGTTTGGTTTGTATATGCATTTATTGGGGTCGTATTTAGTCTTATTACCCTTCGAGTAGCGTTGAATAAATTGCTCTGTATAAAGACTTATTGAGAGCTATTTATCCCCATCGCCCTACCTAACCGAGTTCCAGAAGCTTACAGCCAGTGTACAAAGCCTGAATCCGACTGATCACCAGTCAATGACCGTTGTATCCTAGGTTCCCGTCTACGTGTAACCTATACTGGACGTTGTGTAGTTGTGTAGTTTGTATATGCTGTCTATTTGTTTGGAAGAGTTACCTCCCTTGTGATGTATGTTTTATATTTGATCTATGTAGTCTGTTTTTGTAAGGTATTTTAGTATCAATTTGTGGGTTTTATGTTCTACTGTGCTAGATTGTAGTATTGTATGTATGTTGTTTGGGGATATATTTAGTTTCTCCAATTCTTGTAAAATTGTTTGTCGTGTTGTTGTATGTTTGTTATACCAGAGACAGATATGGCCTATGGTTTCTGAATTGTTACAGTGTTATAGTGTTGAATGTCCATATGTGCATGGTGATAAAGTTAGACTTTTCCCAGTACAATAAAAGATAACTTAGACATAAATAGTCATTACTTGCTGATACAGGGGATTAGTAGATCATAGTTTAGAGAAAATTCAGTTAAAAAAATAACATCTTTTTCCAGATTAGGATAAAATGTCATAAGTAACCATTCACTTTTATCCAAACACGTCACGTGGTAGTGAAATTCAAAGCAACAGGAAGGCTGAAATTTCCCGTCTACTATAATGATACAATGTTTATATTTAGTATAAATATACTCATTAAATCACAGTATACACTTTTAAACTGATGTCATTAATATACTTTACCAAGCGTCAAAGATTGTTATATTTATGTCAATGACACAAACCTGACGGCCATGAAAAATATTGACTAAGTCATGATGGGTGTGGACATGTTGACTAAGAGTGTAATAGACCAAGTCTAGAATTTATCTATCTAAGACAGCCAAACAAATCATGGTGAACTATTTTATATGTACGTAAAGGTTTTCACAAAGACAGTCTTTAGGTAGGCCGTAATTAGAGCTAGATGAGTTTTCTAGATGACAGAGACCAATGCTGTACTTCTTTGGCCCATACTCTTCAAAAATGATACCATCTCGTATAGTTATCGCCTTGATTTATATATTTTTATTGAAAGTGGATTCAAACCTATATCTCCCAGCAGTGTTAGTGGCATATTAACCTCAACAACGTTAGTGGCATATTTACCTCAGAAACGTTAGTGGCATATTAACCTCAGAAACGTTAGTGGCATATTTACCTCAACAGCGTTAGTGACACATTTACCGCAGCAACGTTAGTGGCATATTTACCTCAGAAGCGTTAGTGACACATTTACCGCAGCAACGTTAGTGGCTTATTTACCTCAGAAACGTTAGTGACACATTTACCGCAGCAACGCTACTGACATATTTACCTCAGAAGTGTTAGTGACACATTTACCGCAGCAACGCTAATGACATATTTACCTCAGAAGCGTTAGTGACACATTTACCGCAGCAACGCTAATGACATATTTACCTCAGAAGCGTTAGTGACACAGTTACCGCAGCAACGTTAGTTGCATATTTACCTCAACAGCGTTAGTGACACATTTACCGCAGCAACGTTAGTGGCTTATTTACCTCAGAAGCGTTAGTGACACATTTACCGCAGCAACGCTACTGACATATTTACCTCAGAAGCGTTAGTGACACATTTACCGCAGCAACGTTAGTGGCATATTTACCTCAGAAGCGTTAGTGACACATTTACCGCAGCAACGTAAGTGGCATATTTACCTCAGAAACGTTAGTGACACATTTACCGCAGCAACGTTAGTGGCTTATTTACCTCAGAAGTGTTAGTGACACATTTACCGCAGCAACGTTAGTTGCATATTTACCTCAGAAGCGTTAGTGACACATTTACCGCAGCAACGTTAGTGGCTTATTTACCTCAGAAGCGTTAGTGACACATTTACCGCAGCAACGTAAGTGGCATATTTACCTCAGAAGCGTTAGTGACACATTTACCGCAGCAACGTTAGTGGCATATTTACCTCAGAAGCGTTAGTGACACATTTACCGCAGCAACGTTAGTGGCATATTTACCTAGACCGAGAAGTCAACATGCCGCGCTGGTACAGAAACAAGTCTTCAAACCCCATACAAATGAGCTATAATTAAGGGCTGATCGCACGAGGGTGTCAAGTAGTTAAAATGTGTTGCAATTGATACGTTCCTTGTCCATGTGTCTGTGTAGTATGTGGTATTTTAACCCGTACAGTATACAATAGAATAGTATAGAATTATATGTCTTACTGTACTTACACAAGTGTTAAACAAAGCTTAACCAGACAGACTACAGTAGACTAGTATATAATGTTAAACAAAGCTTAACCAGACAGACTACAGTAGACTAGTATATAATGTTAAACAAAGCTTAACCAGACAGACTACAGTAACCAGACAGACTACAGTAGACTAGTATATAATATTAAACAACGCTTAACCAGACAGACTACAGTAGACTAGTATATAATGTTAAACAAAGCTTAACCAGACAGACTACAGTAGACTAGTATATAATGTTAAACCAAGCTTAACCAGACAGACTACAGTAGACTAGTATATAATGTTAAACCAAGCTTAACCAGACAGACTACAGTAGACTAGTATATAATGTTAAACAAAGCTTAACCAGACAGACTACAGTAGACTAGTATAGAATTTGGTGTCCTAGAGCCAAATATTTAATTAGAATGTATCATATAGCTCTTTAGTCAGTTTAGGGGTCGTCAATGTTATTTAGGCTAAAATTTTGAAACCTAAGAGGCGACTTAGGAAAATTTAAATTGACCGAAATAAATACCAAACGCTAGATGAAGAGCACTAGCCACATGATTAAATAAATTCGGTAATTTTCTTTCTGTGGAGTTTGTTAATTTTGCGGGGATCCTGCTTTAGATACGTTCATGGGCATTAAATCCGTGTTCTAGGGCATGCAACATATGTCCTCACCTGTTAATTTTGCGGGGGTCCTGCTTTAGTTACGTTCATGGGAATTAAATCCGTGTTCTAGGGCATGCAACATATGTCCTCACCTGTTAATTTTGCGGGGGTCCTGCTTTAGTTACGTTCATGGGGATTAAATCCGTGTTCTAGGGCATGCAACCTGTTAATTTCAAAAGTACGTCATGTACATAGGTATGATGTGAACGGTGTTATTATTCAAACGTAGTTAAACACGGCATGTAGGTCAACCAGCAGAGTGCGACTTAGAATTTACAAAATGTGTCTAAGAAGAATTATGACACCAGATTGATAATTTAGCCCTGTGAAAAGTGTGTTTAAGATATTTACCATCAAATTCAATCGTGACACTGTTTAAGATATTTAAGTATATTCTCCATCATTAGAAGAGAGGTATTTGTTGTACTATTAGATTTGACTTCTTTCCTCCAACGATTATGAGGTATGTGATAATACACAATTATCTGCTACGTATTCAACATTGTATTATCAATTAAATAAGTAGATTTTTCTCTTGGCTTCGGCATCTTTCAATGAAAACAAAGTTACTCGGGATTACGTATTAGGTGTAGTATACCATATTAACAATATACTCGGCTGTATTGTTCTCCACTGTAGGTGTGAGCTGGGTGAGGGAGTGGGTGTGACAACCACTGAAAAAAATTAACAGAATTTAAAACAACGCATACGTTAATTGTAGTTGATAAACTGTAGTGTTCCACTTGTGTATTACGGCCATGACATGGGCGTCACAAACGTCCTACCTGCGACACACCCTGTCCCGTTGATACGTAAACATGCCTTGTATCCAGGCTCCGTACAGGTCTATTACTACCCTATTAACATCAGAACGAATTAATTTGTCCAGTCCGTTAAGATTTCGATACGGTGTAGGGGTCAAGTTTCTCCTGGAGTTAGTGACACTGGAGCGTTCAGCGCGCTGACTTGGGAAGGACTCGAAAACAGAAATTTGACATGGCTAAAGTTATTCTCAACTGTAATTACTGAAAGTAAACAACGACAGGGTATTTTGTATCCATTGAAAAGATGGTTGTTCCACTTTTTTTACTTGGAGGAAAAAGGGCCATTGGAAAAGACCTGATGTAAGTAAAATCCATGGTATCACATTTGGTGTAAAACCCACAAATAAGTAAACGAGGATGCATCGTTAACCATGTTGCCCCTCTGGTAGGACCGTTTCTAATGTTTTTCCCCATTAAGTACGGGTTTATAAGACAAATCGTCAAAAAAGAGTCTTATATATCGTAAAAAAACAACTCGATAAGACGAACTCGATATCGCTGCTACAAGGATTAGTCTAGTGACTTTGAATAGCTATTCATGTAGGGGCAAATTGAGAAAACAAACATGCGATTCATCCTGAACAGCTATAATACTGTCGTGAACAGGTATTATATATAACACTTCGTGAAGAATCTTTGTAGATATGTTTTATTGGTTGTTTTTGCTATTTACACTTTTTGAAACCTAGAATATAAACCAGTTTGTGTGTAAGAGTGACGAATTTAGTAACCAGTAACCAATGATGTCTCGGGATTTTGTCACTCTGTTGACAAGCACCAATATGACGTAACAGGAATGATGTTCGTTACCATAGTGATGTGAAATGATTGTTTCAGATGTCCCAACAATGCCCTGGTGTTACTCGTGATGTTTTTCGTGCTGGAGACCAACACAGGTATTTAGTCCATTCTACCAACTGTGAAAAATGACATGTAATGTGTAAGCATTTGTTAGACTCCAGAAATTCATCCAGTATTAAGACCCATAAAGAAGCTCTCAGATCACTGCATTTCAAATTTAGAATACTAACGGTCATGACAGCTACCGCAAAGTTGCAATTAGTAGAGAAATGATTGTTCTGTCAGTCTTATATCATATAAATATAAGTATAAAAAGAAATACAAAGTTCAACATAACTGACGGTGTGCGTGTCGCACACATTTTGAATAAACTTAATACCAATGGAGAATAGATAGGCCCTTATGCTTCATCTGTAGGAGAAGTTTAAGTTTATTCAAAGATGCGCTCTTTATTACTCAGTACAAAACTATACAAGAGATGAAAAATATTACCATTTCTCTGATTTATGAAAAATTGTGATTGTCACCATGACAACCATATCAATAATGGAATTTTAAATGTAATGGATTTCGGGGCCAAAAAGGCCGAAACCACCGCAGTATTTTGATAATTAAAATGATCTGGAATTATGATAACAAAATCTACATTGCGAGTGAAACGGTTAAATAAGACGATAGTGTGTAATTGTTATATATTGGTGTTATACTACAACCAATACAATTACACACTATCGTCTTATTTAACGGATATAATGTACAGACTACCAGTTACTAGTGCTCAGCTGACAGTGTTGCTATATACAATATTGATAGACAGGTGTCTTGAAGGTCTTACCTTGTTATATATATATTACAGTTCACTGCCAGAACACGACACTGTCGGCCACAAGTACCGCGGCCTACTTCACGTCAGAGGGTTACCCGACCATGTACTCAAAGTAAGTACCGCGGCCTACTTCACGTCAGAGGGTTACCCGACCATGTACTCAAAGTAAGTACCGTGGCCTACTTCACGTCAGAGGGTTACCCGACCATGTACTCAAAGTAAGTACCGCGGCCTACTTCACGTCAGAGGGTTACCCGACCATGTACTCAAAGTAAGTACCGCGGCCTACTTCACGTCAGAGGGTTACCCGACCATGTACTCAAAGTAAGTACTGTAGTCTACTTCACGTCAGAGGGTTACCCGGCCATGTACTCAAAGTAAGTACCGTGGCCTACTTCACGTCAGAGGGTTACCCGACCATGCACTCAAAGTAAGTACCGCGGCCTACTTCACGTCAGAGGGTTACCCGACCATGTACTCAAAGTAAGTACCGTGGCCTACTTCACGTCAGAGGGTTACCCGACCATGTACTCAAAGTAAGTACTGTAGTCTACTTCACGTCAGAGGGTTACCCGGCCATGTACTCGAAGTAAGTACCGTGGCCTACTTCACGTCAGAGGGTTACCCGACCATGTACTCAAAGTAAGTACCGTGGCCTACTTCACGTCAGAGGGTTACCCGACCATGTACTCAAAGTAAGTACCGCGGCCTACTTCACGTCAGAGGGTTACCCGACCATGCACTCAAAGTAAGTACCGCGGCCTACTTCACGTCAGAGGGTTACCCGACCATGTACTCAAAGTAGTACTGTTTACTTCACGTCAGAGGGTTTGCCCTACTGATCGAATCCGTGGCCTACTTCAAATTAGGGTTACCCGAACATGTCAAAGTATGTTCTTGTACCGTGTACTTCACGTCAGAGGGTTGTTGTTCAAAGTAAGTACTGTAGTCTACTTCACGTCAGAGGGTTATTGCCATGTACTCAATAAAAATGGCCTACTTCACGTAGGGTTGCAAATGATACTCAAATAAGAGTTTTTACTTCACGAAAGAGGGTTAGACCATGTACTCAAAGTAAGTACCGTGGCCTACTTCACGTCAGAGGGTTACCCGAATACTCAAAGTAAGTACCGCGGCCACTTCACGTCAGAGGGTTACCCGTAAATGTACTCAAAGTAAGTACTGTAGTCTACTTCACGTCAGAGAGTTACTCGACCATGTACTTGAAGTAAATATTGTAGTCTACTTCACGCCAGAGGGTTACCCAACCATGTACTCAAAGTAAGTACCGTGGCCTACTTCACGTCAGAGGGTTACCTGACCATGTACTCAAAGTAAGTACCGCGGCCTACTTCACGTCAGAGGGTTACCCGACCATGTACTCAAAGTAAGTACCGTGGCCTACTTCACGTCAGAGGGTTACCCGACCACGTACTCAAAGTAAGTACAATGGTCTCTTTAATGTCAGAGAGTTACCCGACCACGTACTTGAAGTAAATATTGTAGTCTACTTCCCAAGTTACCAGGCTAGTCTGCATGTAGACATTTTATTGTTCATATTTTGCCCTAGTTTGATCGAATCCGTGTTCAAATTATGTTTCCGTGAACATGTCGATATGTTCTTGTACTAACGTGTAACGTTGTTGTTGTTCAAGGCACAAAGGTCAAAATGATATTGTTCAGTGTATAAAAATTACACTGTATTGCAAATGATAGAAATATTAGAGTTTTTAATCATGAAAAAGGAATAGTTAGACGTTGATGTTTCGGTTAAAATATACGAATCAAATAGTTAAGTTTGTAAAGACATGGAATACTGTTGTAAAAGTCATAGAAATAATATCGTTTAATTAAAATCCTAAGGGGTATCTTAAAAAACACTCGTCAGAATGTGAACTGTCGGTCCAGGTGTAGATCTCTATATTTCGGATAAGGAAAACATTCGTGTTGGTAGATAACAGATGTTTTTGTAATACTCACGATTGTTTTAATTTGTTTCACAGTAACGTGACGTACACCTGGTTACTGGAGTCAAGTGACGTTAACGAGGTGGTAAAGATTGAGGTAGTTGACTGTCAAATGGAATATATCAACGCCAAAGTACCCGTATGTCAGCTGGACATTCTAACTATATATGACGGTAGGTTATGTCGGAGGATCGCACAAGATCTATATGTAACCAGAATGTTCGAAAGTTTAAGTGTTAAATGAAATTCATGAGGTTGATGGAGATATCAATGTGACGTCTAAATGTTTAATGGGGAATTTGACGACGGTGTTTAATTAAGATCTCGGTGTGGTGCTAATGTATGAGGTTTTTAATTGGAAATTTGATAAAATTTAATATTTAATAAAGATCTCGATGTTGTGATAACGTTAAATATTTCAATATAGAATTTAATGACAGCGTTTAATAAAGATCTCGATTTTGTGATAACGTAAGATATTTCAATATAGAATTTGATGACGGCGTTTAATAAAGATCTCGTTGTGGTGATAACGTAAGAGGTTTTAATGGGAATTTGATGACGTCGTTTAAAGAAGATCCCGGTGTGGTGATAATGTAAGAGGTTTTAATGGGAATTTGATGACGTCGTTTAATGAAGATCCCGGTGTGGTGATAATGTAAGAGGTTTTAATGGGAATTTGATGACGTCGTTTAATGAAGATCCCGGTGTGGTGATAATGTAAGAGGTTTTAATGGGAATTTGATGACGTCGTTTAATGAAGATCCCGGTGTGGTGATAATGTAAGAGGTTTTAATGGGGAATCGGGTTTGATTTTGTGTGACTTATTTGGACAAGTAATAATACAAAATTGTTGAAAGGGAACTACGGAAATCTGGTTTCTTGGAAACCTCTGTATATCAGCGTTTAAGATAACACGTGATGCCATGTTATGTGTTGATTTTTGTGTTGTGAATTTTTTAATCACTGAAGTTCAATTTGGTTGTACAATTATATCCGTATTGCGGTAGACATGGATATATATCATAGATATAGACGTGATTTAAGAGTAATCCTCTTCTTTAACATAAATCAGTAGGGATTCTAACTTTCCCTATTAGGTGCCTACGAGAATGCCACACAGCTTTACTCCTCGTGTTGTATGACGTCAGTGCCAGCCATGAATAGTTCAGGCACGTTCCTCCTCGTCAAGTTTTCTACCGATTCCACTGTGGTAGCTCGTGGTTTCCGTATCAAGTACTACAACAGTGCAGCCCCAGACGGTAAGATCTTAAACACGGTGTCCAAAGTAAGATTTCGTCAATCAAGCGGTCATACTCAACAAGGTGTCAAATGTACAACGATGTGTCAAAGTCAGCTATTCTCTCTTACACGATCAAATACAGATATAGTCTAAAAATTGTTCATTTTTTAGCTATTAGTCAAGGCGACAAAACATATTCAAAGACTTTGAAATGCTCTCATTTTACATGACTTCCATATTTTTAAAAGCACAAACACTTAACCATGACTAAAGTTTTAATTAAGTAAAAATCAAAAATCGTTTTGATATTCGTCCTTGGCCTTTCACTTTAGAATCGTCTGTCGCTGCAGCCAGCGGACTTTTCATCGCTGTTGGAATTGTCGTGGTGCTAGTCATCGGTGGCGCTTTTATCAGCGCATATTTCATTTACAAGTTTAAATGTCAAGATGGGACTAAGGTCCGGATTAACCCTCAGGGTGAGGAGGGACAGCCTCGCTGTGAGGAAGAACAAGGAGTAAACAATCCAGCCTTATCAGGAGAGTACGAGAAACGCCCTCTGGAAGGCCCCGAGAGGTCGGCACCACCTCCAAAAGCGTGGACAGAAGAGGGAGGTATGGAGGACCCTGAATTGGAAAATACGGAGAGGAATGTGTTTGCCAAAGGCACGTTTCCGGAATCCGTTTTGAAGCCAAACGCTTTACCGCCTCTCACAAACGTAACCTTATCATCGACTAGTGGCGCCCCCCATAGAAGCCTAAGTCCAGTTGGATAAACATGGATCGTCTCGAGCACTTGTGTCCCTTCACTAGTTTCATGTATTTATGGAAAATGTCCTTTAGTGTAGGCAGTTCTTTGTAAATAAAGAGTGAATTTTTAATGTATGTTGTATTATAGTTTTGTTGCTGATCGCCCGATAATTCACTTAATAGATTAGGCAATCCAAACATAATTATGTAATAACATGATCGGTAAAATAACTAAAGTGGCAGAAAAGTGGAACAAATCACGCCAGTTCTCAATACAAAGTCTGGGGAAATTACAAGGAACGTAAAATTTATTTCGGTCTGTAACATCAGTCAGTCGGACAAGAAATGTAAATGTGTATTTGTATTTCCAATAAGTGAGTGGGAGGGATTGGAGGAGGGTATGCCGTGTACATTAAACTGACACATCAGGATAACCAATCCATGCTTTAATATTCCTGGTCACAATCTATGAAAACAACAGCCTAACAAGTCCAAACCATCATATATCAGGTCATATTCACTAACACAAGATAACCAGTCCATATCATCCTGTCACATTATATTGACGTATCAGGTTTCCAGGTCATACTGTACTGACAACAGACTAACCAGTCCTTACTGTCACCTTCCAGGTCATACTGTACTGACAACAGACTAACCAGTCCTTACTGTCACCTTCCAGGTCATACTGTACAGACAACAGACTAACCAGTCCTTACTGTCACCTTCCAGGTCATACTGTACTGAAAACAGACTAACCAGTCCTTACTGTCACCTTCCAGGTCATACTGTACTGAAAACAGACTAACCAGTCCTTACTGTCACCTTCCAGGTCATACTGTACAGACAGACTAACCAGTCCTTACTGTCACCTTCCAGGTCATACTGTACAGACAGACTAACCAGTACTTACTGTCACCTTCCAAGTCATACTATACTGACAACAGACTAACCAGTCCTTACTATCACCTTCCAGGTCATACTGTACAGACATACTAACCAGTCCTTACTGTCACCTTCCAGGTCATACTGTACTGACAACAGACTAACCAGTACTTACTGTCACCTTCCCGGTCATACTGTACCGACAACAGACTAACCAGTCCTTATCATCACCTTCCAGGTCATACTGTACTGACAACAGACTAACCAGTCCTTACTGTCACCTTCCAGGTCATACTGTACTGACAACAGACTAACCAGTCCTTACTGTCACCTTCCAGGTCATACTGTACAGACAACAGACTAACCAGTCCTTACTGTCACCTTCCAGGTCATACTGTACAGACAACAGACTAACCAGTCCTTATCATCACCTTCCAGGTCATACTGTACTGACAACAGACTAACCAGTCCTCACTGTCACCTTCCAGGTCATACTGTACTGACAACATACTCCAGGTCACCTTCCAGGTCATACTGTACAGACAACAGACTAATCAGTCCTTACTGTCACCTTCCAGGTCATACTGTACAGACAACAGACTAACCATTCCTTATCATCACCTTCCAGGTCATACTGTACTGACAACAGACTAACCAGTCCTTACTGTCACCTTCCAGGTCATACTGTACTGACAACATACTAACCAGTCCTTACTGTCACCTTCCAGGTCATACTGTACAGACAACAGACTAATCAGTCCTTACTGTCACCTTCCAGGTCATACTGTACAGACAACAGACTAACCATTCCTTATCATCACCTTCCAGGTCATACTGTACTGACAACAGACTAACCAGTCCTTACTGTCACCTTCCAGGTCATACTGTACTGACAACATACTAATCAGTCCTTACTGTCACCTTCCAGGTCATACTGTACAGACAACAGACTAATCAGTCCTTACTGTCACCTTCCAGGTCATACTGTACAGACAACAGACTAACCATTCCTTATCATCACCTTCCAGGTCATACTGTACTGACAACAGACTAACCAGTCCTTACTGTCACCTTCCAGGTCATACTGTACTGACAACATACTAACCAGTCCTTACTGTCACCTTCCAGGTCATACTGTACAGACAACAGACTAATCAGTCCTTACTGTCACCTTCCAGGTCATACTGTACAGACAACAGACTAACCATTCCTTATCATCACCTTCCCGGTCATACTGTACCGACAACAGACTAACCAGTCCTTATCATCACCTTCCAGGTCATACTGTACTGACAACAGACTAACCAGTCCTTACTGTCACCTTCCACATACTAATCAGTCATCACCTTGTCATACTGTACAGACAACAGACTAACCAGTCCTTACTGTCACCTTCCAGGTCATACTGTACCGACAACAGACTAACCAGTCCTTATCATCACCTTCCAGGTCATACTGTACTGACAACAGACTAACCAGTCCTTACTGTCACCTTCCAGGTCATACTGTACTGACAACATACTAATCAGTCCTTATCATCACCTTCCAGGTCATACTGTACAGACAACAGACTAATCAGTCCTTACTGTCACCTTCCAGGTCATACTGTACAGACAACAGACTAACCATTCCTTATCATCACCTTCCAGGTCATACTGTACTGACAACAGACTAACCAGTCCTTACTGTCACCTTCCAGGTCATACTGTACTGACAACATACTAACCAGTCCTTACTGTCACCTTCCAGGTCATACTGTACAGACAACAGACTAATCAGTCCTTACTGTCACCTTCCAGGTCATACTGTACAGACAACAGACTAACCATTCCTTATCATCACCTTCCAGGTCATACTGTACTGACAACAGACTAACCAGTCCTCACTGTCACCTTCCAGGTCATACTGTACTGACAACATACTAATCAGTCCTTATCATCACCTTCCAGGTCATACTGTACAGACAACAGACTAATCAGTCCTTACTGTCACCTTCCAGGTCATACTGTACAGACAACAGACTAACCAGTCCTTATCATCACCTTCCAGGTCATACTGTACTGACAACAGACTAACCAGTCCTTACTGTCACCTTCCAGGTCATACTGTACTGACAACATACTAACCAGTCCTTACTGTCACCTTCCAGGTCATACTGTACAGACAACAGACTAATCAGTCCTTACTGTCACCTTCCAGGTCATACTGTACAGACAACAGACTAACCATTCCTTATCATCACCTTCCAGGTCATACTGTACTGACAACAGACTAACCAGTCCTTACTGTCACCTTCCAGGTCATACTGTACTGAAAACAGACTAACCAGTCCTTACTGTCACCTTCCAGGTCATACTGTACAGACAGACTAACCAGTACTTACTGTCACCTTCCAGGTCATACTATACTGACAACAGACTAACCAGTCCTTACTGTCACCTTCCAGGTCATACTGTACTGACAACATACTAATCAGTCCTTACTGTCACCTTCCAGGTCATACTGTACAGACAACAGACTAATCAGTCCTTACTGTCACCTTCCCGGTCATACTGTACCGACAACAGACTAACCAGTCCTTATCATCACCTTCCAGGTCATACTGTACTGACAACAGACTAACCAGTCCTTACTGTCACCTTCCAGGTCATACTGTACTGACAACATACTAACCAGTCCTTACTGTCACCTTCCAGGTCATACTGTACAGACAACAGACTAATCAGTCCTTACTGTCACCTTCCAGGTCATACTGTACAGACAACAGACTAACCATTCCTTATCATCACCTTCCAGGTCATACTGTACTGACAACAGACTAACCAGTCCTTACTGTCACCTTCCAGGTCATACTGTACTGAAAACAGACTAACCAGTCCTTACTGTCACCTTCCAGGTCATACTGTACAGACAGACTAACCAGTACTTACTGTCACCTTCCAGGTCATACTATACTGACAACAGACTAACCAGTCCTTACTGTCACCTTCCAGGTCATACTGTACTGACAACAGACTAACCAGTCCTTACTGTCACCTTCCAGGTCATACTGTACAGACAACAGACTAATCAGTCCATACTGTCACCTTCCCGGTCATACTGTACCGACAACAGACTAACCAGTCCTTATCATCACCTTCCAGGTCATACTGTACTGACAACAGACTAACCAGTCCTTACTGTCACCTTCCAGGTCATACTGTACAGACAACAGACTAATCAGTCCATACTGTCACCTTCCAGGTCATACTGTACAGACAACAGACTAATCAGTCCTTACTGTCACCTTCCAGGTCATACTGTAAAGACAACAGACTAATCAGTCCTTACTGTCACCTTCCAGGTCATACTGTACAGACAACAGACTAATCAGTCCTTACTGTCACCTTCCAGGTCATACTGTACAGACAACAGACTAACCATTCCTTATCATCACCTTCCAGGTCATACTGTACTGACAACAGACTAACCAGTCCTTACTGTCACCTTCCAGGTCATACTGTACTGACAACAGACTAACCAGTCCTTACTGTCACCTTCCAGGTCATACTGTACTGACAACAGACTAACCAGTCCTTACTGTCACCTTCCAGGTCATACTGTACAGACAACAGACTAACCAGTCCTTACTGTCACCTTCCAGGTCATACTGTACTGAAAACAGACTAACCAGTCCTTACTGTCACCTTCCAGGTCATACTGTACTGACAACAGACTAACCAGTCCTTACTGTCACCTTCCAGGTCATACTGTACTGACAACAGACTAACCAGTCCTTACTGTCACCTTCCAGGTCATACTGTACAGACAACAGACTAATCAGTCCTTACTGTCACCTTCCAGGTCATACTGTACAGACAACAGACTAACCAGTCCTTATCATCACCTTCCAGGTCATACTGTACTGACAACAGACTAACCAGTCCTTACTGTCACCTTCCAGGTCATACTGTACTGACAACATACTAATCAGTCCTTATCATCACCTTCCAGGTCATACTGTACAGACAACAGACTAATCAGTCCTTACTGTCACCTTCCAGGTCATACTGTACAGACAACAGACTAACCATTCCTTATCATCACCTTCCAGGTCATACTGTACTGACAACAGACTAACCAGTCCTTACTGTCACCTTCCAGGTCATACTGTACTGACAACATACTAACCAGTCCTTACTGTCACCTTCCAGGTCATACTGTACAGACAACAGACTAATCACTGTCACCTTGTCATACTGTACAGACAACAGACTAACCATTCCTTATCATCACCTTCCAGGTCATACTGTACTGACAACAGACTAACCAGTCCTTACTGTCACCTTCCAGGTCATACTGTACTGAAAACAGACTAACCAGTCCTTACTGTCACCTTCCAGGTCATACTGTACAGACAGACTAACCAGTACTTACTGTCACCTTCCAGGTCATACTATACTGACAACAGACTAACCAGTCCTTACTGTCATCTTCCAGGTCATACTGTACTGACAACAGACTAACCAGTCCTTACTGTCACCTTCCAGGTCATACTGTACAGACAACAGACTAACCAGTCCTTACCGTCATCTTCCAGGTCATACTGTACCGACAACAGACTAACCAGTCCTTATCATCACCTTCCAGGTCATACTGTACTGACAACAGACTAACCAGTCCTTACTGTCACCTTCCAGGTCATACTGTACTGACAACATACTAACCAGTCCTTACTGTCACCTTCCAGGTCATACTGTACAGACAACAGACTAATCAGTCCTTACTGTCACCTTCCAGGTCATACTGTACAGACAACAGACTAACCATTCCTTATCATCACCTTCCAGGTCATACTGTACTGACAACAGACTAACCAGTCCTTACTGTCACCTTCCAGGTCATACTGTACTGAAAACAGACTAACCAGTCCTTACTGTCACCTTCCAGGTCATACTGTACAGACAGACTGTACAGACAACAGACTAACCAGTCCTTACTGTCACCTTCCAGGTCATACTGTACTGACAACAGACTAACCAGTCCTTACTGTCACCTTCCAGGTCATACTGTACAGACAACAGACTAATCAGTCCATACTGTCACATTCCCGGTCATACTGTACCGACAACAGACTAACCCTTATCATCACCTTCCAGGTCCTTATCATCACCTTCCAGGTCATACTGTACTGACAACAGACTAACCAGTCCTTACTGTCACCTTCCTCATCCAGACAACAGTCATACTGTCACCTTCCAGGTCATAACAGACTAATCAGTCCACTGTCACCTTCCAGGTCATACTGTAAAGACACAGACTAATCAGTCCTTACTGTCACCTTCCAGGTCATACTGTACAGACAACAGACTAATCAGTCCTTACTGTCACCTTCCAGGTCATACTGTACAGACAACAGACTAACCATTCCTTATCATCACCTTCCAGGTCATACTGTACTGACAACAGACTAACCAGTCCTTACTGTCACCTTCCAGGTCATACTGTACTGACAACATACTAACCAGTCCTTACTGTCACCTTCCAGGTCATACTGTACAGACAACAGACTAATCAGTCCTTACTGTCACCTTCCAGGTCATACTGTACAGACAACAGACTAACCATTCCTTATCATCACCTTCCAGGTCATACTGTACTGACAACAGACTAACCAGTCCTTACTGTCACCTTCCAGGTCATACTGTACTGAAAACAGACTAACCAGTCCTTACTGTCACCTTCCAGGTCATACTGTACAGACAGACTAACCAGTACTTACTGTCACCTTCCAGGTCATACTATACTGACAACAGACTAACCAGTCCTTACTGTCATCTTCCAGGTCATACTGTACTGACAACAGACTAACCAGTCCTTACTGTCACCTTCCAGGTCATACTGTACAGACAACAGACTAATCAGTCCATACTGTCACCTTCCCGGTCATACTGTACCGACAACAGACTAACCAGTCCTTATCATCACCTTCCAGGTCATACTGTACTGACAACAGACTAACCAGTCCTTACTGTCACCTTCCAGGTCATACTGTACAGACAACAGACTAATCAGTCCTTACTGTCACCTTCCAGGTCATACTGTACAGACAACAGACTAACCAGTCCTTACTGTCACCTTCCAGGTCATACTGTACAGACAACAGACTAATCAGTCCTTACTGTCACCTTCCAGGTCATACTGTAAAGACAACAGACTAACCATTCCTTATCATCACCTTCCAGGTCATACTGTACTGACAACAGACTAACCAGTCCTTACTGTCACCTTCCAGGTCATACTGTAAGACAACAGACTAACCAGTCCTTACTGTCACCTTCCAGGTCATACTGTACTGAAAACAGACTAACCAGTCCTTACTGTCACCTTCCAGGTCATACTGTACAGACAGACTAACCAGTACTTACTGTCACCTTCCAGGTCATACTGTACAGACAACAGACTAACCAGTCCTTACTGTCACCTTCCAGGTCATACTATACTGACAACAGACTAACCAGTCCTTACTGTCATCTTCCAGGACATACTGTACTGACAACAGACTAACCAGTCCTTACTGTCACCTTCCCGGTCATACTGTACTGACAACATACTAACCAGTCCTTACTGTCACCTTCCAGGTCATACTGTACAGACAACAGACTAATCAGTCCATACTGTCACCTTCCTGGTCATACTGTACCGACAACAGACTAACCAGTCCTTATCATCACCTTCCAGGTCATACTGTACTGACAACAGACTAACCAGTCCTTACTGTCACCTTCCAGGTCATACTGTACAGACAACAGACTAATCAGTCCTTACTGTCACCTTTCAGGTCATACTGTACAGACAACAGACTAACCAGTCCTTACTGTCACCGTCCAGGTCATACCGTACAGACAACAGACTAACCAGTCCTGTCACCTTCCAGGTCATACTGTACTGACAACAGACTAACCAGTCCTGTCACCTTCCAGGTCATACTGTACTGACAACAGACAAACCAGTCCTGTCACCTTCCAGGTCATACTGTACAGACAACAGACTAACTGTCCTGTCACTTTCCCGGCCATACTTTACATATCATGAGCTATTTGTACATGCCAAGTAAGAGGAATGTGAGATGTGTAGGTCTGGATTAATTGGAAGTCATTCAAAACTTACCGGTGAGATGATTACTGGACTTTGAGGCATTTTAGGGTTGGATGCTGACACCAGAGGAGAAGTATTTAACTTTCAGTCATTAATGTTTAACTGATGAGAGAAAAAAAAGGGGATATGGTTCGGGCATCTCCAAAATTTATAACATAAACGATGTGTGAGAAAACAGTAAGTTTACTGGTTACATAACATATACAATAGCAAAGATTTAATAAAAAAAAATGTTGTGTTCATACATATATTAAATAAACATTATTTTATTTAAAACAAATTTTCTAAAAAAAAGGGAAAAATTATATATATTAATGATACTTAATACCACACATCCCATATCATCTATCATTTGATTCTGCCATCACCCTAATGACATCAGACAAGAGCTCAGTTCATTACGAAACTATTTTATAACAAAACAGAACTATGTCTTCTGACAATGTTAAGATAATAATACCAAAAACACAACATTTTGCCAGTCTCCTTTGTTAACTTTGCAGATAAACACAACACATACTGGACCCCTTTACATGTAGTTATTACACTATTTACTTGGCCATTTTGTGTTCTGAAAGTAAATAGAGATGCTAATATTGCATCAACTACAATAGTAACAATCTGTAACCAATTTTGTAACCAACGGCAACTGTATACCTATCTATTGGTAATCTTAACACTTCGAGTATGTTATACTTTTGATTATCTCTCAAAAAGACTGAAACAAAAACAAGATGATAAAATATAAATACCCCAGACTAAACATTACATCCAGAAAGCACAAATCTTGTGCTGGATGTACTCTTTGATATTACAACCATATTAAGCACTTATTTCATTTATGTCGTCATGGTTTTGGCCATGCCATGTGGCCCATAACAAAGTGGAAACAACTAATTTTGAAATTAAGATGCTCCCTCAATTATTGAAGCTAGTAACTAAATTTTGCTTGAATCAGTCAAGCAGTTCTTGGGAAGAAGCTAAAATGTGGAAAGTTAATGGATGAGAGACGATGTGCATAGATGGACAAAAGACAAAGGCAATAGGTCACCCTATAAATTTCTCATTTAAGTGACTGGCAAGACGTTTAAACTAACAACTGTTAATAAAATTATGACCAAAAAAATTAAAACACTACAGTTCTTAATAAAAATTATTGTTTTTGTACACAAAAACATGACAGTGAAGGCATTCTATTAACAATGAGTATGTAACAATCAGGACATGGCAAGTCATCGTAGCAGAGCTACAGTGTATATAGGTAAAATTATATACTGATCATAAATATAACAGTAAATATTTTATACTTTGATACACTCTTAAAATAACATGTTAACAAAAAGGGAAAATTAAAATCATATATTGATTATTTATATAACAGTGATACACACTTAAAATGACATATGTGTTGAAAACATACCTCATACACAACATCACATTGAAATAAGGTCCATGATCACATAAAAGCTAGATTACGTACTGTGAATATTAAGTACACTTACATTGACACCACTCATATTTTCACTGGCAATATTGATTTTAAAAAAATGTTAGGATGTCACATAATCAAACAAGGAACTATGTAACAACTGGTGGTATCTCAAAACAGAAACAATTGATCAAAATCAAAGATGGCTGCATATTATTTTTTTTGGGTCAGTACGAAAACTGGATAATGTACATCCAGGGAACAAGGAAACCTACATATGAAATTCAGAAAAAAATCCATCAAGTATTGTTCCAGAAATAGTGATAACAAACTATTACTGTCCACAACCAAGAAGGCCGACTGTTCTTCTGACCAGTCCACAAAAAGGACAATGCACAACTAGGAATCCAACTTTAAATTGAAAAAAAAATCCATGTAGGACATCTCCAGAAAAAGCAATATCAATCTAATACATGTTAATCAAAACTAAAGATGTCCGTTTGTTGATCATGTTGTTTTTTGTTGAATCAGTCTGATAAAGGGACAATGTAATGCTTAGGACTCCTTTTATATTTGAGAAAGATCTCTAGAAATAGTGATAATAAATAATTATGTCAAAATCCAAGATGACTGCCTGCCAGCCATGTTGTTTTCGGACCAATCTGAAAATGGGACAATGTACAGCTATAGAGATCAAGAGGAACCTACACATGAGATCTGATCTATCAAGTACTCCTCAAGAAATAGTGACAACATGAATCACTGAAGAAATCATGACTGTCTGATGATGGATGCAGGATGATTTTGATCACCCACAATCTCATAATCCTGGACTCAAAATATGCTGAGCGATTATGGATATGTTTTAAAAGTGATAAGTATAATATTTGACCCTTTTACCTTCACCATGACCTTAAAAATTTGTCAGGTGTGTAACTTGATCTTGTGATACGTGAATGAAACCTAAATCGCTTAAAGGGTTCATGAGGTACAACATATGCAGCATGTACATAAATCTAGAAGTGGTTGCTATATAACTCCCATTTACCAATAAGTGGTGTAAAAAATTGTCATTACCCTATAAATGTTAGAGCACAGCTCTACACTCACCATTCTGTCATCCAAAGATGTACAAATATACTTAGCTATTGTAGACTATGTAATCCTGACAAAACCTAACCATATTATACACTGTCCAGCTAGAGAAAACTTCTCCATAGCTTGTTCGGTTGAGTGTAAAACTGGCCAGATCCAACTTTTGATCCACACAAACTTTGTTACCGGGTCCCATGTTCTAATCCGAAACAAAGTAATACAAACAAGCAACACATGTTCCCTACTGGCAACCACATGCTATTTAACTACAATCATTAATAAATTTTCTGAATATGTTAACAGTGACCCTGATTTTGACCCAACCAATGTGAAACTTGCTACAAATGCTGCTTTTATCATTCAAGTATGTCAGCATGGTGTGACATAATTATATATAAACAATAAAACACTGAATTGTGATGTTGAAATCAGAGTAGGTGAAGCTGTAGCTTCTGGAGCTGTAGCAAATGAAGGCAGCCTTTCAATCACACTGAGTGAGCTACATCAGTGACCAGTGAAGGATGAGTTCTATAACCACATTGAGTTACGCCTAACGACCAGTTCTACAACCACACACAAGTGAGCAGTGAAGGCAATCCTACAACCACACACAAGTGAGCAGTGAAGGCCATCCTTAAACCACACACAAGTGAGCAGTGAAGGCCGTCCTACAACCACACACAAGTGAGCAGTGAAGGCAGTCCTACAATCACACACAAGTGAGCAGTGAAGGCAATCCTACAATCACACACAAGTGAGCAGTGAAGGCCGTCTTACAACCACACACAAGTGAGCAGTGAAGGCAGTCTATAACCACACACAAGTGAACAGGGTAGGCAATCCTACAACCATGCACACTGAGTGAGGTGTCAAGTGACCAGTGATTGCCATTAAAAGGATTAAAATGCCATTCCTATCAGGTATGCTAACTGGGAAATGAATTTCTTAGTCTGTGATTCTCAACTCCTAAAGTTAAAACTGAAGATTTGAAATCCAGGATGGCAGTTCCGTGAAAGAGAACATTGAATACCACGACCATGTACTCACATAGTGCAAACTGGCTGTAAACTGAAAGCAAAAGTTAAAAAAAGATATTTTAGAAAACAAGTAAAATGATATTGTTTCAGACAATATTAAGACACGATATAGAAGTGAATTATACAGGGCATGAGATGACACTGAAGAACATCCTGTCTTATTTTCTGAGTGCTTTTTTTTCCTCATTCAGGCATGTTTTACCAAATTTTGTGTTTGAATTAAGATTCTGTTAACATGTCCGGATTTTTGTTTTTGGTCCTGATTCCTTTTTGTAAGTTAATATTGTCAGTATCTAGAACCATGAAATAAATCACCATGCCTGAAAATTAAGTTTCATCAAGATATCATTTTGTCAATCTAAAAAAGACTGATGTTAATTCACCACAACAAAAGGCTGTTTGAATACAGAATAAGACTTCATTGTAAGTGAAAACTGAGGTGTATCAGAGATGCCATTCTAAAATTTACACAATTATACCTACAGTATATGTTCCACATATATTTCTGACAGATCATGAAGCACTATTGCAGCATTACAGTGTGATGATGTAAGATGCAGGAAAGCTAATCTAATATGCAAATTCTTATATAAGTTTCAATAACATTGCTAATACATTTTCATACAATATTGGTGCTGCTATATAGAGTATACGTGGTCTTTGTCTTGAAATATAAGCTGTATATTGGTAAGGGTGAATAAAGACAAGAGCGGTGAACCGTCCATCCAGCTTATATCTTAACACACTGACTTTGTATTCTATCTATCATGCAACATTGACCGAAAATCAGACTGTTGAGACTTAAACAGTTCTTTTCTTCAGTCTGTGTTTACCTGATGTTGATGTTATGCTGAATTTTGCCCGATGACGGATGCCAAAGTAATTGCTTCGCATGGAATTATAGTTTTAAACTTCATCAGATATAACAGCAAATTTATGAATTTTCATAGATTTACATGTTTATTACAATAATAAAGTGAATTCAGACAGGAATTCTGTCAAATTTCCGTACATGCTAAACTACAGCTGTTTTCGGTCTCTGCCAAATACAGCAAAAATATATGTGGCATGTGTATTCTGACAACAGCAGTGCCAGTTGCAGTATAAATGTATGTACGTGCAGGATGTACAGGAATTTTGTAACGAACATGCAGTTTTTCTCTTATTTTACAGCAATGGTTAATAAGAATATGTTTTTCTGATAAAATATATTTCCCACATATATTGATAACAATGAATGTCAGACAACCACACACACCAACATGCACAAGGTATATGGTACATTTAAGAGTGAAAAACCATGATCACAACAAAGGCAAACATAACCTTCAAGCATCAGATAACAGGAATGGTGTACCATAGCAAAGGACGAAATGCCAGGCTGCTGAACAAATCAGCATTTTTCTCCCATTAAAGGCTGTAATGTTAATGTGATAAAAAGTATATTTGGGTCTTATATGTGGGACATAAATGGTCATTATTCTCCTACCTCAGGGACACTTATGGGGCATTATTCTCCTACCTCAAGGACACAAGTGGTCATTACTCTCCTACCTCAAGGACACTAATGGGCATTATTCTCCTACCTCAGGGACACAAGTGGTCATTACTCTCCTACCTCAAGGACACTAATGGGCATTATTCTCCTACCTCAAGGACACTAGTGGTCATTACTCTCCTACCTCAGGGACACAAGTGGTCATTACTCTCCTACCTCAAGGACGCTAATGGGCATTATTCTCCTACCTCAAGGACACAAGCAGTCATTACTCTCCTACCTCAAGGACACTAATGGGCATTATTCTCCTACGTCAGGGACACTTATGGGGCATCATTCTCCTACCTCAAGGACACAAGTGGTCATTATTCTCCTACCTCAAGGACACTAATGGGCATTATTCTCCTACCTCAGGGACACAAGTGGTCATTACTCTCTTACCTCAAGGACACTAATGGGCATTATTCACACACCTCAAGGACACTAATGGGCATTATTCTCCTACCTCAAGGACACTAGTGGTCATTACTCTCCTACCTCAGGGACACAAGTGGTCATTACTCTCCTACCTCAAGGACACTAATGGGCATTATTCTCCTACCTCAAGGACACAAGTGGTCATTACTCTCCTACCTCAAGGACACTAATTGGCATTATTCTCCTACCTCAAGGACACTAATGGACATTATTCTCCTACCTCAGGGACACTTATGGGGCATCATTCTCCTACCTCAAGGACACAAGTGGTCATTATTCTCCTACCTCAAGGACACTAATGGGCATTATTCTCCTACCTCAAGGACACAAGTGGTCATTACTCTCCTACCTCAAGGACACTAATGGGCATTATTCTCCTACCTCAAGGACACAAGTGGTCATTACTCTCCTACCTCAAGGACACTAATGGGCATTATTCTCCTACCTCAAGGACACTAGTGGTCATTACTCTCCTACCTCAGGGACACAAGTGGTCATTACTCTCCTACCTCAAGGACACTAATGGGCATTATTCTCCTACCTCAAGGACACAAGTGGTCATTACTCTCCTACCTCAAGGACGCTAATGGGCATTATTCTCCTACCTCAAGGACACAAGCAGTCATTACTCTCCTACCTCAAGGACACTAATGGGCATTATTCTCCTACGTCAGGGACACTTATGGGGCATCATTCTCCTACCTCAAGGACACAAGTGGTCATTATTCTCCTACCTCAAGGACACTAATGGGCATTATTCTCCTACCTCAGGGACACAAGTGGTCATTACTCTCTTACCTCAAGGACACTAATGGGCATTATTCTCCTACCTCAAGGACACTAATGGGCATTATTCTCCTACCTCAAGGACACTAGTGGTCATTACTCTCCTACCTCAGGGACACAAGTGGTCATTACTCTCCTACCTCAAGGACACTAATGGGCATTATTCTCCTACCTCAAGGACACAAGTGGTCATTACTCTCCTACCTCAAGGACACTAATTGGCATTATTCTCCTACCTCAAGGACACTAATGGACATTATTCTCCTACCTCAGGGACACTTATGGGGCATCATTCTCCTACCTCAAGGACACAAGTGGTCATTATTCTCCTACCTCAAGGACACTAATGGGCATTATTCTCCTACCTCAAGGACACAAGTGGTCATTACTCTCCTACCTCAAGGACACTAATGGGCATTATTCTCCTACCTCAAGGACACAAGTAGTCATTACTCTCCTACCTCAAGGACACAAGTAGTCATTACTCTCCTACCTCAGGGACACAAGTGGTCATTATTCTCCTACTTTAAGGACACTAATGGACATTATTCTCCTACCTCAGGGACACTTATGTGGCATCATTCTCTTACATCAGGGACACAAGTGGTCATTACTCTCCTACCTCAAGCACACTAATGGGCATTACTCTCCTACCTCCAGCACACTAATGGACATTATTCTCCTACCTCAAGGACACTAATGAACATTATTCTCCTACCTCAAGGACACAAGTGGTCATCATTCTCCTACCTCACTGACACTTATGGTTATTATTCTCCTATCTCAGGGATACTCATTAAAATGTCATAACTCTTCTTTTATTGGGACAGTAATGGTCATCGTGTTGACATAAATACAAGATGTGTTCTTTATATCTTATGGAAGAGCATTAAATACCAACCGTTTATCTTACAGACTAGTTAGATTTAGTTGTCCGAGAAATATCCAGACCTTTGGAGCCAAAATAGACACTTAGTTGTCTAAAGTCCAATATAGCAGTACTGTGGAAGGCTATGTTGGAGAGCACTGTCAAGTACTCACATAAGGCAAACCAAGTGTAAACTGAAAAAATAATGTACAAGTTTAAAAATATTGTACAAGCTCATGTCATGCAAAATCATGCAAAGTCACAACAGTACAAGTAGGGTACAAAACATTCCAGGAATATCTATGAAAAGAAACCATTGTCTTATGAATGGTGGTGAACTTAAAATAACATTTTGTTTGAAATCAACAGATATACATTCAACATACAAAAAGCAGAATAATGATATTGTTTGAATAGTCTTCCTTCCTAAGGAAGAGGCCCATGGGCCTTACTGGTCATCTGACTGTCAAAACATATATATGATAAAGGCTCAATGGGCCTGAATTGCTCATCTTTTAACAGCTCACACCAAAGACTTTGTCAGTTCATAAAGTCAATATCTGTATACCTATTTCTGAACATGCTACTACACAAATACCATGACTCAGGATCCATTGCTTGTTAAAAGAAGAAATTTTCAGGTCTCAACATATTTGACCTCAGTGGCCTTGAAAGTGGTTCAAGGTCTTTCATCTGAACAAGATTACTGGGTCAAGTATCGGTATCTTGGGCCATCTGAATACTGATAAGTAGTTATTTACAGATTGAGACAAATTTGAGCTCTGTGGCTTTGCTGGTGGGTCAAGGTAATTCATTTTAACAAGTTTGGTTGTCCTTCATCCAAGTCTGCTACAAGTAAAATATCAGTAACCCTGGGCCTTTCGATTAATGAGAAGAAATCATTTGAATGTAAAGTTTATGCATTGAACACAACTTCAGGTCAGATGACCTAAAAATGCAGAGAGACTTTGTACTTCTTTTTTCTAGAGCTCAAGTCATCCAGTTCACCACCAATATTATTGCAGTGAGAATCCTACACCCACAGATAAAATTTTCTTTTCCTGTTAGGTTACAAAAGGAGCATGCATAATCACAAACGTAAAAATGGGATCATACGCTGTACATACCCAGAACATCTTTTAATATTTCTTAACAGTAAGCATCCAATACTAAACAGACAGGGGAGACAACTATGCAAGCATTAACATTACATGGGCATCAATGATTCTGACTTGTACCATTTGCTGGGTCTAAGTGCTCCTTACAATCACATCAAATTATGAGATTATACTCATGTTAACTGTGAACAAAAACATTTTTCATCACAAAGGTGTTTTAAGCATCTAAATTTTCAAAAAAAAAATTAATTTTCCAATGCATAAGTTTGATTTCTGTGCATTTCAGTTCTAAACCAAAGTCTTTTAATATGGTACTGTAACACTTTTCACACTCTAATCACATATAGGCCTCCAGAATAATTGTAACTTTCAGGTGATATTTCCTATCAAAAACAAATCTTGTTACCATGCACATTTCATATAATACAGAATGCCACCACTGTACAGCATGGCCATTACACCAGAATCAAATATGCCCATCTACTACAACAAGGGGCCCCTAAGGCCTGTATCACTAACCTGGTTTAGTTTAATGAAATTGATTAACTTGAAGTAAAGGAAAAGTATTTAAAGCACTATCTCCCTCCCCTATATGGCCCTGTTCCTACTCCCTAAGGGGTTTAAAAACACTGTTTTGTACAAAACTAAGTTCTCTTTACAAAGGATGCTTCAGATCAAATCTGGACAAAATCAAATTATTCCAACAAAAGAAAGATTTTAAAAAATTTGCTCTATATCTTCTTTTGGGCCCCATCTCTCCCTGCTCTGTATCTTCTATTAGGTCCCATCCCTCCCTCCTGAGGGGGCTGAGATCCATCATTAATACAAAATTGATTCCCCTTCACCAAGGCATGCTTCTGACCAAATTGGGACATCAAGTTTTCATACAGAAGAATTTTTAAAAATATGTTTCCCCTATTGGGCTTGACCCTCCAGTCCCAAGGGGCCTAAACTCAAAGCTCTATTTCCAATATTCGACCCTATCCTTTCCTCCCCATGGGGCTGAGACCCACTGTTTGTACAAAATTGATTTCCTTTCACCCAAGAATTCTTCAGACCAAATTTGGTTAAAATCTGCTCAGCTGTTCATTACTAATTGTGTTTTTATAGGAAAAGTTGACAAATAACCTATATTTCCACTACGAGGCCCCATCCCACTAGCCAAAATGGGGTCAGATCAATCATTTAAACAAAACTAATTTCCCTTAATTAAGCACTGGTCAGAACAAATTTGAACAACATCCTGCAATTCCTGAAGAGCAAGGTAGATTTTAAAGAAATTGATAAATTTTCCCAAATGGACCTACCCCTCATGCCCTGGGGAGTGAAAACCCACTGATCATCAACAATTATTTCAGTTTCCCTAAAGGATATTTCAGACCAAATTGGTGAAATCTGTCCAGTCTTTCACAATAAAAGGTAAAATAGTGATTTATAAGAAAAGTTGATAGACGCCGGACGCTGCTGTATCCATATAGCTCACTTGACCCTACCTGCCAGGTGAGCTAGTAGTTAAACATCAAGACGAAATAGTGATAGAATACTTACTGCCTGGTTCACAGTAGGCATTATGTCTGATAAACAGGTATACTGCTATGAGGAATGATGTGATGTTGAACAAGAACAAGCCAACTTTGTATTTATAAGAGGTCTTTTCCTGTGAATATAAAATACAGACCACACCTTCAACATTTAGTGATACATGTATATAATACAGACAGTATCTACAACATCTAATGATATATAATACAGACAGGTTTATTTCAAAACCAATCACTCTTGACCTTAGACTCTTCCATCTTGACTCCAGACTAATAAGATTTTTAATCACTAGAAGCTTCCATGTATTTAAGTGTCATATAGGAGTACATAAGACAACCAATATACACCAGTTGTTTGTACGGACAGACAGAGGGACACATTCATGTATGGTCTGGGTTAGATTGTCGAAGTTACAGACAGGTTCTCCTTAATTAAAGCTTTGACTTACTATAATACTCATTTGGACTCCATTAGCGGTACGACCCCATTTGAACAATATGCAGGATACCAACATGTACACAAGGGAGGTCACCATAAACGTTACGAACAGCTTCTCATGGACACCTGATGAAAATATACAAAAATCTTCAACATGAAGTCTTCATTGTATATAACTGCTAACAAAAAATGCAATACCACAGTTTGTCAACATAACACATGACTTAATGATATCAGAGTATCTGAGAATATTTCCTGTCATCCAATGTTTACTCAAATGGTATTGTTATCACTATCTATTATCAACCATACTACACATATACTAGAAATCACAGTCAACATGTCAATGAAATTGTACCTCCTGGGTACAAGACTGTACCTCCTAGGTACAACATTGTACTGCCTGTGTACACAATTCTACCTTCTAGGTACAAGACTGTACCTCCTGGGTACAACATTGTACTGCCTGGGTACACAATTCTACCTTCTAGGTACAAGATTGTACCTCCTGGGTACACCATTTGACCTCCTGGGTACACCATTTGACCTCCTGGGTAAACCATTATATTACCTGGGTACACCATTACACCTCCTGGGTATACCATTTTTACAGCATGACATTTCCTGGCTACAACATTGTACATCCTGACTACAACATTGTACATCCTGGCTATACCATTTCTACTAAAGTCACAATCATCATGTGAATGAAATTATACCTCCTGGGTACACCATTTCCTGGGTACACCATTTCCTGGGTACACCATTAAAAGCATATTTGAACATTTGATATTTACTGTTGCGGTGTGTAAACTATACTTACATGCTTTTATTTGGTCAATTCTCAGCTAACATATAATAAATCTTACAAAGAAAAAAACGCAATGTGTCCTAAGCTTGCTGCATCCTATTAAATTGTAGTAGGCTACCACAATCATCAGACAAGGGGAACAATAAAGTGCCACACATATCCTCCAAACATACTTCTTTGAGATATACTTGTCAGTTGTATAATAGTTATAACAGCATTGATTTTAAGTTGAAGAGATAAAGGGGCACCCCTACTAAAGCCAGGATTTACCTGGAGATATATACCTGTGTATAAATCTCACCATGATTTTCAAATGAAGAGCTATGTGAGAGCCTTATCAGACCTAGGATTTACCTGGAGATATATACCTGTCTATAAATCTCACCATGATTTTCAGATGAAGAAATAAAGGAGAGCCCCACCAAAGCCATGTTTTCTAAGATGTGGAGCAGGCTTGTAAAGGCAGCCACCGACTGGTATAGACTATTTCTCTGTCCTACATGTACTTGGGTATGGAAATTGTAGTAGGCTACCGCAATCATCAGACGAGGGGAACAATGAAGTGCCACACATATCCTCCAAACATACTTCTGAGGGGTGTAACCTCCTATAGCTGATGATATAGAGGGGAGATAATTTGCTACCTGGAAAAACAGAACAGCAGAAATGAGAATGCTACATTTAATAATAATCAAGTAAATATGACAAATAGTAAAATTTTTTATATAAAATACCAAACAAAAAACCAACAGGCATTGGAATAATACTAAACTAAAAGAATTGTGATCAGAACCTATGCCTTTCTTTTCTCCAGTAGCCTTGTTCCTATTTCAACCATCTTTCTTACAGATAAAGTAATTAATATGAAATTTCCTTATTTCGATATTTAAACATTTGACATACAAATCTATTCATCCACATTATTCACAGAATCAGAAATAATTGACCATATGCTGTATAAAATCTTCCTTGCTTCTCATTTAAAACTTCTGATCTACTTAGCTGTAAAATTATCTTAGATACCTCACTTTCAATCATGTTGATTGTAATAGAAAATTCCACATGACAACTGTTGCTATGGAGTCTGGATTTTATTGTTTTATAATTACACTGTTTAGCATTATACTTAAATCTAATAAACTTACTGTCATTTTTTTCACAAATTTAATTGATTATGCTATGAAAATACACCCCCTTAGTTTAAATTTCGAGCTTATTTCCAAAACATGTACACCTGCTTCAGCTATCTCACTCTGGTTTAAAATCCTTATTATCTGGCATTAGTAAAAGATAATTACATTGTTGCATTATACATGTATTTATCTATATACGATATGCAGCAAACATGCAACCACCTACGACAACATGTAAACAGCTGTAGCATCTCATAACATTGTGACTGACACGTGATCCTAGCACACAGCTGTGGAATCTCATAACATTGTGACTGACAAGTGATTCTAGCACACAGCTGTGGAATCTTAAAACATTGTGACTGACATGTGATCCTTCCACACAGCTGTGGAATCTTAAAACATTGTGACTGGCAAGTGATCCTTTCACACAGCTGTGGAATCTTATAATATTGTGACTGGCAAGTGATCCTTCCACACAGCTGTGGAATCTTATAATATTGTGACTGACACGTGATCCTAGCACACAGCTGTGGAATCTTATAACATTGTGACAGAAAAGTGATTATAGCACACAGGTGTAATTTAGTCTGTAAAAAGTTTCATGTATGTTTGGTCTAGTAACATAAATCTTGTATCATTAAATGTATAACTGACAGGCAATCTCAGTACACATCTGTAAAACCCTTTATTTTGCACCTTTTACACTGGTGTTGACAAATCTGATCCCTGAAACCCGGAATATTGGTCAAGGTAGTTTTGTTTTCCTAAATTTGGCAGGATTCATACCATGAAGCTTTAATAATACATATACCATGCTTTTTCATCTTTTGTTTATAGAAGTCATTGAAGGCTTTGACAAATATGATCCCTGTGACCTTGAATAGGGGCTTAAACAAATTTGACCCCTGTGTGACTTTACAATTATTAATCTTTCCAAATATTAGGATTTTCAGACTTTTGGTTTACCAAAAGACATCTTTTACAGGTTTTGATTAATGTGACCCCTGTGATGTTAAATATGGTTCAAGTTTATTGCTTTTCGTAAACTTTGTCAGGCTTTATCCCAAAGACCTACCTGCTAAATAGTATGCTTCTATTAATCTAAGTAAATCAAAAGAATTTGTTTAAATTTAATATATCTAAAAAGTATTATTGGTGTACTGGCTGTTATTTGATTATATTACTGAACTGTAATATACTGATGCGCCTATATTTGTAACAAGAATATAAAGTATTAAACACCAGTCACAATATTGACCTTCTGTTTAGGAACCTGAATCAACAAAGTAAGATCTTATAATAACAACACAACATAGATGTTTATTTCTGTATTGATGATCATAACAAGTCATAATCCTAATCCTCATTACCTTCATTCTGTATATATCATAACATCCAAGTCATAATCCTAATCCTCATTACCTTCATTCTGTATATATCATAACATCCAAGTCATAATCCTAATCCTCATTACCTTCATTCTGTATACATATAAATAAAACACACAGACAACATATCTATAAATAAAACACACAGACAATATATATAAATAAAACACACAGACAATGGCTTCAATCTGATACTTAACAGATATTATTGGCAAACAACAAAGTCTTCAAGTTTTGACAGAAACATAAAAATTCAATATTTAATTCAAGACATTAAAAATGACAATGTGCATTCTGATTTCTGACTGTTCAATCATTGCTTGTAGATAACCTTATTCATTAGGCCCCTGTGGTTTGGATAAATCATTACAAAAGCTGTTGAATTTCAGTTACAGTCATTAACAGAAATAAAAAAATCTGCTTGAAATAATGTGGCAATGCTGTGCCAACTGTCTGCTGCAAATTTGTGATAGATATTAATATTTATGGAAATATTTACAACAGAATGAAACAAAAGTAATGCTGCAAAATTTTGTTGCAATATTACTGCTGACAGTTGCCATAAGCAAGTGTATATAAAACAAATCATATATAATAGATTTTAAAATTAGTGACTTACTGTCATGTTTTAATATGTCAATAAAAATCACTAAATTTCATATGATTTTTATAATCATTAATTTGAAGTTTAGATATTTTTCCAACAATATACCAATTAAAATTGACAGAACTTACATTGTTATGCATTGGTTACTACAATTCTCTTAATAAAAATACATAATTTCTGGATTTGACTATGGAACAATGAAGACACTGTTAGTGAAGATTAAGTGTAACTGTATAATGAATATCAGTCTGATGAAAAAAATGAGAATTTGAAGTAAAATTTATAGCGAGTACATGAATTGCAGTCTCCATGGTCAAACACCCACAGCAACTTTTAAAATTTTGACCATTTTAATACAATATACCTTCTATCTCCAATGTGAAAATACAAAACGCATGAATGAAGATAATAGATTTTCACGACATGTATACATAAACCTTGTACGTGAAAAAAAAAATCCAATTTGAATTGAAAACCAGATAGAACAAGAGATCCTAGAGGGATCTTGGCACCCACCATTGTTTGATCTTTATATGCTCTTTGAAAGTTGGATCTTTTCCCTTCTTTTCTCTTTCTTTTTTTTCTTTTCTCACAAGGAGAGACCAAAGGGAACATACGTAGGAAATTTGAGAGATATCCATTCAGCACTTATTAGGAAATAGCAATAACATTCTTAACTAGGCAAAATCCAAGATGGCTGCCTGTTGGCCATTTTGTTTTTCTGATCAGTCCCAAAATCAAAGGAGCAATAGGAGAGAGCAAGGGGAACCTACATATGAAATTTGAGAGAGATCCATCTCTTACTTTTTAAGGACACTGATAACAAACTTCATTTAAAAAATCCAAAATGACTGCCTGTATGCTATTTTGGTTTTTTTTTTATCAGACCCAAAATCAAACAGACACAACTAGGAACCAAAGGAAAGATCCATCCTGTACTTCTCAAGAAATAACGGTAACAAAAATTGTTTACGGACGGACATCTGATGATGGTGGGCTAAAAATCAAGTAATATGTGGTGCACAGTATTATGATCCATTCGAAGCTTGACTGCAAGAACACCAAAGGCATGAGGTTCTGCCTTTCTTCTGTAGTCCAGGCGCTGACCATCTGGACCAGTATCTTCCTAGATCTGTTTTGATAAACTAATTTTATTTCTCAATAATGCTGGATATGGCAGCATGTATATATATCTTGTAAACTGGATTTTGGTTTTGACAATCACACAGACTGAAAGGTATTAAGCAAACAAAATAAGCCATTGTGCTTAAGCTACAACAAATGAATTGAGAATTCTAAAGTCTAAACATACAACAGTGGAAATGTACTTGCCAATATCTTATACAAAAATGATTATGCAGCTAAATTCATCCATGTCTAATACATTTTACTACTAATTAAGAATTTCACAATTTGATAGCCAACTGTTCTGATGCATCATTTCATGCCAACACTGATATGCTATAGATATTCATGTTAAAAGGAAAGTGTAAACATACATTACATAGCTATACATATTACCTGTAAGTTCATAAGATATATCCCTTTAGTCCAGTCAAATTACACAAAAATTGCACAAACCATTGTTTGGGTTTAATTTGGAATATTTAAAATCGACATTAATATTACAGAAAAAAACTACCAAAAGTAAACTAAACTTTGGGAAACTGTTTTATGGCCCATATGGTATCAAGAATATAAGAAGTGATATTTTACTTTTATTTATTGTTGGTATCTCATATCAAGCATCACAGATTGTTTGCAGCAAGCTGCGATAAAAAAAACCTTTTTGCAATAGTTCTTAATTACAAACAGAATAGATTGCAGACTCTAAATTTCTGTAAGGGCTTGTACCTTTTATTTTACAAATCATTATCAACAATAACTGAAAAATAACTTCCATGTTCCCAATCGAAATTAAAGGTGATATCACCAACAATATAACCTTTTAAATGTATGCATACTGATTCGGAAAATAGTGAAACTGAATCAAACGAAATAAAACTATCAAGTTGAGGAAGCTTTGATATCGAATAACTTTCACCTATCCAACCGGACTCTTCGTGTAATAACTGAATACTATATCCACAATCGCTGTGACTTCTACGGTAAGTCATTAACAATGTAGTTATCTTAAGCCGGGCTAACAGTACGACAAACAATGCAGTACATGCTAAGCTCTTATATAAAGTGATCAGTCAGCTTGACTACCTTGGCCTACAGGCTGATGTGTTATGCTGATGTTGACAACTTACCCTGCAGTGAGTGGCTGTCGACGACTCAAAATCATTCATAAGCGACCATAACACACAGAACACAAATCCAAATAATGGTAAAGATAACACAATTTTCCCTAAAAAGGCGAATTGCACCTGGAAAAGCACCTTATTTGTTGTCTGACTCGACATATCGATGCCGTCAAATAGGCGAATCAATGTTAGAAATAAGCTTGACTTGTGAAGCCTTGAAACGATGCGTCCGACTGACGATGAATTGGATCGCTTGCCATTAGACGTTCAATGCTATGCAACCCGTATTGCAGCGAGACGATGGATGGATACGAGAAGGAGGAGTCGCGAAGACGAAAAATCTGTCAACCAACCAACCCCTTATTCATTCATGACCCCATTGGCTGTAAAGCTATCAAGCTTATCGCGATAAATGTTACCATGTACCCGTGAAACGAAGGATAGTGTCTCTGGGAGATCACAATGGATCGTTGCACACCGGTAGTTTTAATTCACACATCAATACAGAGTGGTTTGAGTATTCACTGGTTGAAAGTTAGTATCATACGACGAAAGCCACTTTTAGCAGAGTTATGAGAGAATGTTGTCAATCTTACAAAACAAAATCAATTTATAAAGCATTACGTTAAAAGCATTCAGAGACCTATATAACATGCTATTGACATTATATCGGTCTTTTTAGATGATCACAATTCACAATGCTCTATTATAATACTAATGAAAAAGTACCTATAGATAAAATACATCGCTTAATGACCTTATCCAGGGTTTTGGCACTCAGGTTTAATATAGTTCTCTCTTTTTTAACAGTATTTTATTTAAAATTTAACATTTAAATAGTATCAAATCAATTAAAATATTGTCAAGAGTTTTTTTTGTAACAAGCTTATAACTTATGTAAAACGATATCCTTACTAGTTATTGGCATATATATATAAGTAGTGCAATCATGTTTGATTGAAGAAGGAAGGTTGGTGTTAACATTAATAATACTGTCCGACCTCTGATCCTGTGTTTATCAATGTACAACTGCTATCGGTGGAAATTACATAAAGATAGAGCTCAATAAGGGTTATTGTAATTACATACTTCATAACCTTGTCCATCAATTCAATCACATAAAGATAGAGCTCAATAAGGGTTATGGTATTGTAATTACATACTTCATAACCTTGTCCACCAATTCAATTACATAAAGATAGAGCTCAATAAGGGTTATTGTAATTACATACTTCATAACCTTGTCCACCAATTAAATTACACAAAGATAGAGCTCAATAAGGGTTATTGTATCGTAATTACATACTTCATAACCTTGTCCACCAATTCAATTACATAAAGATAGAGCTCAATAAGGGTTATTGTATCGTAATTACATACTTCATAACCTTGTCCACCAATTAAATTACATAAAGATAGAGCTTAATGAGGGTTATTGTAATTACATACTTCATAACTTTGTCCACCAATTAAATTACATAAAGATAGAACTCATTAAGGGTTATTGTATCGTAATTACATACTTCATAACTTTGTCCACCAATTAAATTATAAAGATAGAACTCAATAAGGGTTATTGTATTGTAATTACATACTTCATAACTTTGTCCACCAATTAAATTTACAATAGGGTAAGTAATTACATACTTCATAACCTTGTCCACCAATTAAATTACACAAAGATAACTCAATAAGGGTAATTGTATTGTAATTAGTTACTTCATAATTTTGTCCACCAATTAAATTACATAAAGATATAACTCAATAAGGGTTATTGTAATTACATACTTCATAACCTTGTCCACCAATTAAATTACACAAAGATAGAGCTCAATAAGGGTTATTGTATTGTAATTACATACTTCATAATTTTGTCCACCAATTTTGAATAAAAATTATTTTGTAGTAAGAGTTTTCATGATGATCGCACTCATTGTTACTTTGAGTTTATTTTGGTATTTAAAGGAAATGTGTATTTCTGTCCATGCTTCTTCATTGATATTGAATATTTCATTCCATTTAAAATGTTTTTTGACTCTTATTTCAATTTCTCTATTCCAATATTTTGCTAAAATTTGTTTTGGTCAGAATATTCCATGATAATACCCCACTTTCCTAATTCATTTTATATCCGTCTAATCCAAGTTCCTTTAAGTGTCATAGCACTGAAAATGAAACGCAAACACAAAAAAAATAAAGTCACTTTCTAATCACACACACAACGTCGAAAATAAATGAGCGCATACTGCTAAACTGTGTCTTCCTCCTCTTCCTCCACACCAATTGTCATCTCGCCTTCTTTTTCAGAATGGAATTTCCTAATTTCCTCCTGAAGTTGACGTCTCGTGGCTTTGTCACGTCGAAGGGTCTGTGTCCCTACACCAACAAATGAACACTGCGTCCGTGTGGCCATGGTGCTACTGGCACAGCCTGTCAGTATTCGGTCATCTGTTGGTGACAGACTGAACCGGAAACGTGATGAAGAGAGATTTATAAGAGGTCTTGGATTTCATTATTGGTTGTGGCCACACTGGTTCCCCAAGCAACATGCACTTCACACGTGTGGTTGGAATGAAGCCTATGTCGGAGGATGCCTTTGCAGGCGTCAGCGAGGTATTTTCCTACGACAACTGTGTTGATTGTCTTCTTTTAGGAGAAGTGATCAAGGGATCTTAAGGGTCATTTTTCGCTAGCTACGCTACGTTGATGAACTGCCATCAGGCAAATACATAAATTACTTTTAACGTGTTCATACTATAAGATTTATTTAAAAACCGATCGATGAAGTACCAATATGTGAAAAAATATCTACAGATACGACCTCAAAGTCGCTCACCTGAAATAACCGACATGTGTATCGGACATGTGACTGCACTTCCGTTTCTGAGGACAATGACATCACAAAATCACAGAGACGCTTCTTTGATGAAAAAATAATATGGTGCGAAAGTGGTGGAGATTTGTGTCCTGCTCCGAGTCCAGGTATAATGGTACGCTAAATCTTGCAACGACGTCTTCCACCATAGTAACAGTTCCAGTAATAACTTATTGATTTGGCGTTGCAAAAGCCTGTGTCCACTTAATAATCACATATGGGCAATATTTACCTGTTCCTGTCTTCCGTTTCCGGTAAAAGACGCAAGGTGTCTAACTTCAGTCGTTTCATCGGTACGCAGCTTTGAGCCATTTGCATTGGAACCATCCGGAAACATCCTGGCCCTTTCTGCGTTTCGAGCATACTTATTTGGCTTAGTTGGTAGAGCCGGTCGATTATCGCGCCAGAGATCCGGACTCGATTCCTGACCGTGGCACTCGATAGGAATGTGTTTTCCTTGTTCTTTCACACTGAGGCCCAACGAAATCCCAGGAATTGTGGTATTTGGAGTCTCGGATTGTGATTAAGGAAATCTCGAGGAAACCAGAGAGAGTAGTGTAAAAAGGAGCGGGTCGATGTGGTTTGTACATATTAAAAACGGTTTCTGTCACTCAGCTAACGGAGCGTGCTTCTTGACTCAGTTAGTATAGCCGGTCGTTTATCACGCTGGAGACCTGGTCGGAACACTCTACAGGACAGAAACCGTGTTCGGTTCCTGGTCGGGGCATTCGACAGGACGGAGACCCTGTTCGGTTCCTAATCGAAGCATTCGACAGGACGGAGACCGTCTTCGGTTTCTGTTCGGGGCACTCGACAGGACGGAGACCTTGTTCGGTTCCTGGTCGGAACACTCGACAGAACGGAAACCGTGTTCGGTTCCTGGTCGGAACACTCGACAGGACAGAGACCGTGTTCGGATTCTGGTCGGGGCACTCTGCAGTATAGAGACCGTGTTCTGTTACGGGGCAGTCGACAGGAATGTGGGGTTTTCCTTGGTCTGTTACATTGGCACCCAACCTGAGTCTGGAATAATGATGAGCGTTACTTTCACAAGCCTCGCTGTAACCACTGGAAACTAGAGGACGAACTGTTTCCTAAAGTGACTGTTTACCCAGTTGCGGACATCGCGTTGCAGCCCTGGCTAATGTTACGTGTTCAGACCTTCTCCAGTGTCCTTTGTGAAAAGTGTCTCAAAGACATTTGTCATGACACTGTCTCATGGTATCTTGTCTCATTTGGCATGGTACAAGTGTTTCCTTTCCTCTTGTTTTCCCAGCCACTGCAAGATATGCCATCCATCTTCACCCTGGATGTGAGCCAACTGCAAACAGTAACCATATTTCATCCAGACATGAATCAACACTAAAGCCCTGTCACCTTCTTGTTCTGAATTCATGGTCATTTGACCCGTTTCTTGATTCCCTTGACAGCTTCGCATTAACTGCTTGGCTTTGGAGGAGCTCGATTCATACTACCACATTGGAATGTTTCAGACCCAGTCGGTGATCGATACGGAATTTAAAATTAGATAAGGTTTCTATCCACTTTGTCAATTGTCCTTCCGGGTCTTTCGCTTGCATCATTCATCTCGGAACACTGTGAACGACGTGAACAATGATGAAACCTTCCTTTTCTGTAACAGAGTCCCTTCGCTCCGACTTTGTCATGGTCCGACTTGTAAACGATATTACTCTCCCCTGGCCATCGATACCTTGGGGTTGCAATTCCTTCTTTGGAAACAAAGTGACATAGAAATGAAACTTTCTTCGCAAAAAATGATGCATTTCTTGGTTTCATTTTCAATCCTGCCTTAAGTAATTTATCGAACACTAGCCGTAAGTTTACCAAAGCAGCCTAAAAAGTGTATCATCAAGATCTACCGGATTAATATCCGCTGGACCCCACGTTGGATGCCAAAAATGTAACATGTGGTCACCCATCTGATGTCAAGGTGACTCCAACAAAAACCAAACTACGAAATCATGTTTATTGATCACATAATGTTTTACAAAAAGTAATAAGAGACGTTACATTGAAGAAAACGATATCTTATTCAGCATCGTGGCCTCAACCAAGATAAAACAGACACCATCAAACACGCGCCGTGTCGGCTATTGCGGTCCGGCGTACAACGTCAGCCTGCTGCGCCAATTTCCCGGCAACCTTGCTAACCCGCGCTGACGCGCGATTCTCACCGATATCACCGAGTGAGCCGTTCACACCATTCCATGTCTAGACTGAGGTAAACAGTCTCGCCACTGTCAGCACCTGCTGCCTTATCACC